AGTGCTAAAATAGATACATGGATGGGTCATAAAGTTAGCGTCAACAGTAATTTTAAGATAAGCTTCAGCTTCATCTTGAAGTTTTAGATTTGGGTCTTTTTTAGACAAATCCTCAATCTTACTTTCTGAAAATCAAACTTTGCTACTTCTTTTTCAGGTCCTTGTTTACTGTTGAGATGTTTAGCTGGTGAAACATTAGATAAGTATTTATACTGTAGCAAAGAAAATTAGGTTTGCTATCAAATAACTACAGATAATTTAACATATGGATATACACTAGAATATGCAAGAGAAAAGGGTAATAATGGATCACCTAGGCAATCCTGATTTTCTACGTCTGACAAAATAAAATGTGGTATTTTTTTGAACAGAACTGAAATACAGCTTTTTAAAGTTGAGCTACTGACCAGGTACTCCACACTTATTGATTGTTTGGGATTACAAGGAAAGTAGGTGATAGCAGACTGATAAATTTCTAATTTTATGCTACACTGTATTTTTGCTTTTTTTCGTAGACTGCTGACACAGTATGCTATATTATTTTCTTATAGCATGTCATTTTAACACTACCATGGTTAAAATTGCTTTTGTTGATTCAGAGCATAAGTACACTGGTTGCATGCAAAACACTAGTATAATCTTCAGCGATTTCCACCACACTGAAATTTCATGCTCTAGGCATAGGGATTTAATGCCAAATTCCAAGCGAATTCCAAATACAGGTGATTGAATATAATGTAAATGTCTCATGCTCTCTGGTTGTTTGGTTTTGTTTTTTTTTTTGTAAAGCACCATAGCTCACAGAAGAATCCTGCTGTATCCAAAGGGTGGGGCGAAGGAAGGGTGGAAAGGTAGTTCCAGAAGCAATGAGAAAGAGATGGTGTCCTTGGAACCTGAAATACCATCAAGTTCCTGTACTTCTTAGTACTTCTTCCAATTTGGATCAAAAGAAAAGTTGAAAGGGAAATCAGCAAGAGCTGTTTCCTGTCTGTTGTGTAAGACTGGGCCTGAGTTTGCATTATGACAATACTTCGTATTCTAATAAAAGTTTAGAAGAAAATATTGAGATATCTGTATCAGGACTATTGCTGCAGATCCTTTCTGGTTTTGGTTAATTCACAGGATTTTTCAAACCTTCTAGCAAAGGACATTCTACATGTTCACTGGATTGTAGTTGGATATTCTTGCAGTTATGGCAGAAACATTTTATTTTTATTTAGAGGTCTGTCAGAAATTCTGCAAGTGATCTTGTTCTATTCATCTCCTCTGTGTTCCAACTTCTGTTTTATAAATATTTTTTCCCACTTATTATCTGTGTCATTTTTCACTGCAGTTCTGCATATGACTCCACTAATCCAAATTACAGCTCCAGAGTAGAGTTTAAATGAAAGACAATAATCTATCAGAAAATTTTCCAACACCATCTTGAGAGTAAAAATCAAATTTAAAATACAAAATTGTATGTAATTAACTTGTATCTTAATTAGAATCATAAAATAACTCAGTCTGTAAGAGACCTCTGCATGCCCTCAATTGTCCAAACTTCTATTCAAATGGCCTCTAACTTAAATGTCCCACAAAACTGCTGCACAGTGTTCTGTGCAGTCATATTTCAAAAGTCATCCCTAGGTACTTGACCAGTGGAAAAACTTAGTCTCTTACATCCAGCTGGAATTGTCTTTGTTGCCATGGAAATGCTAGCTGCCTGTTGTCATTTTACTGTGTATATTTGTAAAAATCTGGCTTCATCTTCTTCATACGCCCCCATGTGGAAGACAGCAATTAGATTCTCCTCCTGCTCCCCTTCACCCAACTTTTCTCCAGGCTACACAAAACCACATCTCTCAGCCTATTCCTTGTATATTATATGTTCCAGCCCATACCATCTTAGAGGATCTTCTCTGGACTCTTCAGTTTTATGACCTCGCTTTTACTGGGGAATCTGAAGTGGAACACAGTGCTGCCTCCCAAGTGTTGAGTAGAAGGGATATAATTTCTTCTCTCAATCTGCTCTTGTTAATGAAGCACAACATGTATTGCAGTCATGTTCCTCTCATTATCCAGGAAAAGCCCAAATTTTCTGCAGAGCTGGTACCTAACTAGTCAGATCCTGCACCTCCTCTAGGGGTTTATTCTACCCAAGGTACTGGACTTTGCATTTGTCTTTGCTGAACTCAATGATATCTGCCAACTCCTCAAGCTTGGTAAGGTTCCTTTCTAGCAGCAAGCCAAGTGCAGTTTGTTCTTTGCTATACTTTTGTAAATACCAAACTCCTTGTAATCTAGCAATTATCTTTTTGCTTTGGGATGGAAATAGGAAAAGTAACATAAATTTACACAGAATACATCTATTCAGAATAACTTGCTCCACTGACTCATCTCTTTCAAGATATCTTCAAGATAACTGAAGGTGAAAGCCCTAAACATGAGCTGATGGGTCTGCTTTAGACGCCTAAGTTTTAACATGCTGAGGAATTTATGTAAATTCAGTAAATGACAGTGGTTTTTTTCTTGTTCTACAATTTTCTGGCTGCATGTCCAGAAAAACAAATTCTTAAGAGGAGCAAGAATAGAGATACTAGAGTCTATGGATTCTGCACATGAGCAAGTTCTACATATGATACATGCTGAAGAGTCATTTCAGCTGAATAGAAACTAGATAGCACAACATCTTGTTGGAAGGCTTACGTTGTTTAACTTTCTATATGCTCCCCGTAGCTTTACAGAAAGGAGTCTGATGAAAGTATTTCAGGCAGTGATAGGTCTGGTAGAAAGATGCAGAGTTTTTATTTTACATAGCAGTAAATCATTGTGAGAGAGCTTTAAAAGTGTGGGACTAAAAACCTGCTAAGGTAACCATCTCCACAATTAAAATCAGGTGGCTAAAATAAGTCTACTAATTTAGACTAATTAGTGGCAGGATAGTCCACCTGAGTGAGAACAGCTCAGAAAGATACAACAGTCTGCTAGGTAAGAAGGAGACAACAGACCACTGCTAAAATGGAAAACACTGGGCAAGCTAACAAATATATTATGCTGTGGTTATGTGAGCATGCATAAAAAAAAAGATGAAGTTATAAAAAAAATGCAGAGAAATATGTAAAAACAAAATACTAAAATTACTGTAATTGTAATGACTATCTTGTAATCCTGTATGTCGACATAACAAAATGACAGTAGCAAAACTAACATTCATAATATGAACTTGTTTTTTATTGCCAGAGGGATGCTTAAAGGCACAATATGCAGCTACATAAGCACAAAAAAACAGCACAATGGAAATCTAAATGCATCCAAACACCACTCAAACCAGATTGTCTCAGAATAGCAAACCCATTCTGAATACATCAGAAATCCTTTCTCCCCTATCCTAACTAGTGATACTCAGTTCCTAAAATGTTTGCAAACCCCTTCCAAGTTTAGAAAAAAGCTAGTAGGAACATAGGATGATAGTGTTGAAAATTAATGTCCTAATGAGTCCACAAATTATATATAAACATCAAGAGACTAACTGGCAATGTGATGCCAGCTGAAAAGCCACCACCAAAATTAAATTAATGCACAAGAAGTGACAAGACTTATTAGATGTCTCTGACATATCTGTGCTGCTGAGCATGCTACAAGACAGCTATTTTTAAATGAGACGTGATGTACTGGAAACATTCTAGCCACTGAAGCATGAAGCTGTATATAATCAGTTCACCACACTGCGAGGCTGCAGTACTATAGTTACTGTATCTTCCAAAATACTTGAGAAAAATTCAAATGGTGAGTGAAGTCTTGTAGATTTTCTAAGAGTTTGCCTACAATTTTTTCCTGAACTCACCTGACTATTTGCTTTTGAATGAAGGTCAAAGTTCTGTGACAGCATTGCAATATCACTGTTTCAGTTAATGCATTTGTATCTTTTAATTTCATCTGGTCAATTCTGTTGCTGAGGAAGACTTAATTTTAATGCATGATCTGTACTAAAATGTACCATAGATGCATTTCGCTCACAGTCACTCACTGGACAATCATCTGCAAAAGGAATTGATTAATTTAGGTTTTTTACAAGTGTTTAAGTGAGGAAGTTAGACAAAATTTTAAACTATCTTTTAATTCAATAACATCATGAGTCAATACTGAGGTAGGTAATAAGTGTTAACAAAAAAAATATGTGCACTCATGATAGCATTGTAGGACATGACATCGATGATAACATAGCAACTATACACAAAACTTTGACAAGTCTTGTTATTCTAACCATTCTGCAGAGGAAGGAAATTTTAATTTTTTAAATGTGTATGTCAGGAAAAGGTTACTTCTTGATGGTCATTTTGATAAAATCTGTTATATTACATGAGTTGCTGAAATTATTTTCCCATTGACAGCACATGCTAGAGCTATAAAGGAAGCAATAGGAACAAACTTGCTGACTTTACGTTAATGATACTTTTAGATTATCTAGGAATATAAGAGAAGCATGACAAATATAGGACAACAACATGCAGCAGCAAAGCATGTAGGAAATTTAGGTTAGTATTTTACAATGAACATTTTTGGCAATAGAATCTGCAGCCAAAATTGATGACTAACTTCAGTAGCACTGGGACTTCATATGTAATTAAGAAAGCGTCTGAATACTTTGTTTGCCCATGATAACTATTCTTTAACTTAGACTTACACCTGAAACAATGCGATATTTATACAAAGGTAAGCATGCAAACTGTCTGCTTTGAAATTTGGTAGCAGGGAAAAACTGAACTTTTACTTGCAAAAAAATAGTACAGAAATAACTAGAAAAGTCACAGAAAACATAGGAAGGTCTCACAGTTAACATCCTCTCAAAATATGCATCTTACTATAGTGTTTAGTCAGTAGTATAAGTTATACTAATAACTATTAATAAAGTAGATGTGTTCACTGTGGCCTTTGATATCAGTGATAAAGCAATAAACTACAATATGGATGACAGATTGAAGTTTACAAAGCAGTAATACCAACAATTTGTTTTGCAGCTCCAGAGGCGATTAAAAACAGCACAGCTTCCCAGGAGACACAATCTAGTTTTCTTCCCTGATGCTACTGTGAGCACAAGACATTTCAAAGGAACACATGCAAACAAGAAGGAAATAAAACTATCTTCTCAAAATGTTTGTGTATGCAGTCAATTTGTAAATGGGGTGTGTGCATACCTCTGAATTTAATCAAATCATATCCTCATAGGACAGCAATGTAAAAGCTTAAGTGCAGAATATAGTACTGCTTTGTATTCCCTGAGTTTTACTTTGAACCCTACTTCAAAACCACTTTAGTCTGAACTAATTTTGTACTGACAAAATAAAGTCCAGACTGATAGAATTAATGGAGTCTGATGTTTTACAGAAGCCAGAGCAGTCTAAAACAAGAGCATTTTACTTTAGATGAGCATGTAGTCAGAAGAGAATTACAAATTCTGTTCTCCTTTAATATTGGCATTCATAAGCCTGAGACTGTGGCATATCAGGAAGAGTTTATCTAAAAGTTCAAAGACCCTAAAAGAGAGGAAGACAACAATCCCTTTCCCCTATTTTTTTTCATTCCATGCTTCCAGTCAGAATTTGTCAATGCACATATTTTTTACCTTGCACAAACTCTTCTCTGGATTCCTCTGCAAGCTCATGCAGTATGTTAACTTGCCAGAGAACATGTCTATCAGGAAAAAGAAGACTCTCTTCTCTGCTAGATTAATGAACTGAACTGACTCACAGAATTGTCTGATGAGTGCCAGAGACATGGAAAAGGAATGTGCAGGACTAGGTGGCCAGGAGCCATGGTTGAGGGAGGGAGGACCTCTGCTATGGGAAGGGAACAAAGAAAGAAGATGCAGAAACAAAAGCTATCCCTTGCTGCAGCAGCAAGCCATTCATTTCACTCCCATTTTTTCTAGAAAACAACCTGATTGTTAAAACCATGGGGGAAAAAAAAGCAATTTTATTTTTGTATTACCATTACAGAAAGCTATAAAAAGTAGAACTAAAATTAGCAAATTTCATTTTAATTACAAAAGAAATCTCAGGGTAATGCATGGCAATCAGCTTTTGAAGCAGCATGTGAAACCTAAGTGCTTGCTATTTCTCCCTTGACACTTCCAGACACTTGTTTAAGTTCTCACACCACTTTCTACATTATATCTCTTTAATGTCAGGTGTTACATCACTACAGTAAACCAAACTGGAAAGCTGATCCAGCTGAAAGATAACCACTTGGGGTATTTTTTGGTATTATAATACATATATATATTTATTTTATAGTTCTTTCAGCACTCAGCCATACAAATGTCCATCTTAGTGTTTTTGATAGGGAAGCAGCAGATACATTTATTTCAGCAACACTGCTTCTCAACTTCAATTCACACATAGACAATTGCTATCTCACCTGAGTCAGAGAAACTTCAAAAGTAATAATATACTGATGCCATCTTTCAGTAAAAAGGCTTAAGTAACTCAGATAATTCTAAACCAGAAACAACTACTCAGTATCCCCATGTGAAGCACCTGGGGTCCCCATGATGCTGCTGAGAGTTCTTTGATTTGCTATTTTTGAGTTTTTGTGAAATCATAGTTGCTATTAAAGAGAAGTTCCTCCACTTGTTGTCACTCCAACATGCAGAGGCAACATGTCCTTGTGCATATTCACCTACTGGTGCAACATAATCTTTGTGAAAGGCAAGAAGGTTGAAATATTTATCCAAGTTCTACATCTACTTCACTCAGACTACTGCCAAAGATTTATTTGTTTATGGGTGCTCATTTTGAAATAAACTGAATCCATGCGTGCTTTCTAGAGCATACTCTGAATAGCTACAGGAAAATATGTTTTAGATGCTGATGATCAAGTGCAGAAGTAAAGTTACCACCTCAGCATGAAACCCACCATTTCTTATCCGTCTCTTAGGATAAATATCTTAGGAATCAGCACCTTATTAAGAACTTCAGTGATATGTTGGAAATGGAATTAGGCACTGAAACTCCTTCATTTCACAAACTGCAGCGTTACTCTGGACAGCTGACACTTTCTTGACCTTGTCTCCCTTGACTCAGTGTGTATTAGTTATATCTTTCTTACCCTAGTTGTTAAACCCAACCAACCAAAGACCTTACCTCCCAACTAACCAATGCATTATGAGAGAGATCTAGGGATTTCAGGTGACTACATTTTTTCAGAGAATTACATAAATGAGTGATTTTCTCCTGCCAGAAAGGAGCAAGGATGACAAATTATCTACTTTCAGAACAAAAGGGCAGACAGGGTGGGAGCATGACTAGGAGCATGCATAACCTCAGCATATTTATAAGAAAGGCAGGTAATATCTTCTACACATTTTCATACTTAATATGGTGAATACAAAATGCATGATGAAGCTGTTCTGCAGTATGTCAAGAATTCTGACAACATTTTTAGTGCTAAACAAAAATTGGAAACAGGTTAATTTCTTGTTGCTACAATAGAGGCTTTGTAGGTATTTTTTTAATGGTAGAATTAGGAATATATGTACTAGTAGAACTAGTAGTATGTGGTAGCCATTGCAAAAAGATGCTAGAAGGAAGTATGACATCTTTCAAGTGCCACTTAATATCAAGCCAGCACTTGTGCAAAACTCTGCATATCCACTTTCCAAGACAAAATAACCTTTATGATTCCAACTTTTCCTTGTAAGCAAGTATTTATAGCAGGTGCATATTAAGCAAATTAAAGCATTGTCATCTAGTATACAGGGAAAACACACATCGGCTACACAGACCTGAGCTTCATCTTCCTCAGGAATGAACCTATGGTGCAATAAAACCTCAGTTTCTAACTATATGAGGGTTTTGACCACAAAGAACATTTTAGATGTGTCTTATGAGACATCAATATTCAACTTTTTTTTTTAAAGGTAAATGTAAAGGTAATCTGTGAGAGAGAAAATGGATTGTGCTTTCCCTGGGTTCTCTGGTAGTATTGGGTGTATCTCTGCTGAACTCTGTGACAGTATTTCTGTAAGAACAGGTATAAAGAAAAGATACTTAATACAGTGCAGGGGAAATCCAGGGTAAAATCTAGCCAGGATACAAGAAACAAGGTATGTATTTGTAAATTGGGAACTCTTTCTCTCTGTGTATCCAACACTGCTTTATACCCCTCCCATAGTTTAACTCAACATGTACCATTTTCTTTTGTGAAGACTTTATAAGCCTTAATGAGCTTATTCTCCATATCTAGGATGCTATTCCCAAGTATCTTGGGCTGTTGCATTATTACATTCTTTTTAAAAATTTCAGGTTTTTAAACATTAAATTATAAAAAACCACTTTGTATTTCATGTTACTCAAAGTTCAAGAAGCAAATCAAACATCTTTAAACACTGAACTATGTCAATAGCACATCTAAAGTCAGCTGTTAAAGCCAACTGCATCCTGGTCTGCATCAAAAGCACTGTGTCCAGCAGGTTGAGGAAGGTGATTCTCCCGGAGTACACTGCTCTGGAGAGACCCCACCTGGACGACTGCAGCCAGCTCTGGGTTCCTCAGCACAGGAAGGACACTGACCTGTTATAGCGAGTCCAGAGAAGAGCCACAAAAATTACTAGAAGGGTAGAACACCTCTCCTCTGAAGAAAGGCTGAGAGAGTTGGGGTTGTGCAGCTGCAGAAGAGAAGGCTCCAGGGAGACCGTTTTGTGGCCTTTCTGTACTTAAAGGGGGCTTATAAGAAAAATGGAGACAGACTTTTTAGCACGGCCTGTTGCAATAGAAAAGGAGAAAGAGTTTTAGACTGAAAGAGTAGATTCAGGCTACATATAAGCATGAGATTTTTTTATGATGCGAGTGGTGAAACATTGGAACAGGTTGCCCAGATTGGTGGTAGATGCTCCATCCCTGGGAACATTCAAGGTGAGGTTGGATAGGGCTCAGAGCAACCTGGTCTAGTTGAAGATGTCCCTGCTAATTGCAGGGGGATTGGACTAGATGACCTTTAAAGGTCATCCTTTAATGGCCCAACCCATGATTCTGTGATCCACAAACTACTAATAGACGTAAAGGGTTACTAATGTCAACTCAGCCAAAACAAATAATAACAGCTGCTAGCACTTTATTAATTACCTGGAAACAGATGAAAAAGGGATTGGAAACAATGCAAAATCCTATGCAGGAATTCCAAGCCTTCTGGCTTACTTAAAGGAGAAAGACAAGGCAACCTGAGGGCTTTTTTTCCACAGACTAAAGTTAAGAAACTTTAAGTCCTGCTCCTCCCATATCGACCTTCCTTCCAGATATGTCCTCCTCTTGCTTTATTCTGCATTGACTCTGGTAGTAATTTAGTCAACTTTCATGGAATCACAACAAAACCAGAAGTATGCAACAGCTTTTCCCTGGGTTACCAAGTTGGATTAGTATACTGCATAAGCTGATAAACACCAGATATGGTGAAAAGTAAGAATATATAGCACTGGAAATGGGGAAAAGAGAGAGAAGAGCAGTGAGGAAAGACAAAAATGAAGAGAAGACACCCCCATAACATCAACTACCTAATAATTAATCTTAACCAAATTAAGAAATCACCTATCTAAGAGGCTGTCTCTCTTGCAGTACATAATATGCATACATCTGAACAAGTTACACATTCTGATTTTGTAGAGATTTACATCCCTTGAGCACACAGACAAGGTATTACCTAAAATGCAAGATGAGAAGAGACTTAACCAATCAGCAAATTATAGCTGTTCTGGTGTACAGTGTTCAATCCTAAACATCCACTGGTCAGA